ATGTCATCTAAATCCTACAAAAGACCAACAGTTCTCATTACGAAGGCAAAGTTAGCTGTCAAGAAAAGTAAGAACAAAGATGAGTTGATATTTGTTAGAGCACAGTTGTAATGCACAAATGATCTGCTGCAGTGTTTACCTCAGATGTAATGCACTCTGAGAAGTAAGGGGCCAGTGGTGTATCGACTAGAACCAGTCTATAAAGCTCACGCATGTTTTGAGCAACAGCAAGTGATGCAATGCTGTTGATCAGCAAGACATAATGATTAGTATTCGGTGTTTTTCGCACATCTCAATTGATAAAAAAAAGGGAAAAAAAGACTGACACAACAATAATACCTGTCAAACATGCCCAATGGGTGGCATTTCTCCAAAAGTTCATTAACATCTCTCTCATGTAGTGTCCCAGTTACAATAAGGACAACATTGTCAATCATGTGGCCATAACTGTGAAAAACAACATCCTGTTAGAAACAAACTACTGCACTAGAGCTGGAAATGCTAGTATGCGTCGATGAAATATATGAAGAACGGGTCCAATTTTCAATAAAAAAAAGAAAGGATCAAAACAACACTCCGTCGCTTACGTTATATACTGCAAGAACGTAGATAGTGGTTCAGTGGCCTGGCACAGCATGTGCTTGTACTCATCGACCAGTTTAAGAGTGCACTTCTCCACAATTGTCGTTGTGTGCAAGGGTGAAGGTTCTGCGATTCATCCGAAATAAGTTTGCAGTACAGTTGTCTCACAAAAATGCATTGAGCAAGCATACAGTGCAAATACTTTCATGAAAACAATTGCCAACATTAAGTTTACTCAACACAAAACTCTGTGATTAGGCAGAATTCATTACATTGTTGTTCAAATAAACTGTATAGAGTGCAACATACCTTAGTATAGTACAGTAATGAAAATTTACGCATTCGACATCACCATGGTAGAGATAAGATAAGTTATACATGTTAACATTCTAGTGTGACAGACAGACACATGATACAGATAAAGAGCCCTAAGCAAGAACGTAGCACATCCTCTATACACAGTATATGAAGTCCAGTTAAATGAATTTCTAGAAACAGATGAAAATGTAATTTGCAAAATCCGTAAAACAATATGGACAGCAAGTGTGAAGGGATGAAGATTATTGAACTTTATTGCCAGGCAGGACTGAAACATAATGGCTGAACAGGTTTTGCTGATGCAATTGACCCCCAAATGTGCGTGGATTCATGAAATAACTCCCCTAAGTGCCGAATTCCTTTAGGCAGGTCAAATAGTGTTTTACAGTCATTACAGAAGGACTAAGCTAATCTGCACGAATTTATCTGAACTTCAGATGCTCACATGTACACAACATATCAATAGAGAATTCGTGAGTATATGGTATACCTAGGACTCCACGAACGATCTGTTGAATGACCGACTGTTGGTCTCGCTATACAGGACCTAGTGTTATGTGAGTAGTTCAAAATTCAAGATCTGATCTGGATTGCTTCCCTCCCGAGATCAGTGAACTGGGGAAAAAAGTCACAACAATGCGAAGCATTCTAGCTCGAGAACGATCCGTGCTAGTAGCACTAGCCCGAAATCCCCAACCGGGATCACAATTCGGGCCGGCCAGATCGCGAATCGCGCACCCTAGAATATCAGCGCGGACTAAGAAGCTGCCGCACGGCACGGCAGCTTCCCCACCCCACCCGAAACGCCAAGGAGGCCTGACTTCTCACCGTTCTGGAGGTAGGGCCCGTACTCGGTGGCGGTGAGGTGCATCTTAATGTCGTCGAGGGTCTCGCACTGGCAGAGATTGTTGTAGTCGGCGGCGGTGAGGAGGCCCGAGCGGTTGCCCCGCACGATGGCCTCCAGGAACCCATCGTGTATGTTGAACGACAGCATCTCCCACCCGTACATCGTCGCCGCCGTGGGCTCCGGCTGGCTCGCCGGAGACAAGACCTCGGTGCGGGAGGCAGCAGCGGTGGCGGTGGGGGAGGCGCCGGCGCCCGGCGGGAGGAAGCGGGATCGGAGGGAGGGAGGTCGTCGCAGATGAGATCCGGGAGGTGGGGTCGCGGATGTGGTGGAACACGGAGAAGTTTTTATTAGAAGGGACTCGTTGCCGCAGCAGCTTGTGAGATCGGAGCGTGGCACGTCGGCCGTCTCACTCTCAACAGTTTGTTTCGGCACCTTGGGCCTTAATCATGTGGTTCATGGTGGCCCAACAAATCCGAATGGAGCTATTTATGGAGCGGGCTTCTTGCCCAAAAAAATGTCAGGGATCAGTCTTCAAAAAAAAAAGATAAACACAACTTCTTAGCAGCTTTCCCCCAAAAATTCACAAGTCCTGAATCCTGATACAAGTGCGAAATGTATACCACGTCATAATCTCTCCGGTTAAGGATTCTTTATGCATTTATGAAGAGCTTTTTTCTTTGCAAAATCTATGTTGTAGTCTTGTAGAATGGACAAACTTTGTGCCAATGGAATGAGGTTCCAATCACCTCACCTTTTCTAGAAAAAGAGTGGTATCTCCCAGCCCTATGTGTAACAAGTGATTCCTCTTAAAGATTGATATTGTTTATAGAGCAGACTGTCATCAATTTATTTGGATATTCTTTTCTCCAACACACGATATATGGATAAGAAAATTCCACCCTGGAATTTGTAACAATTCGGAAAAGGAGAAAAAGGCGCTAATGGAATCTGTCTCCTCCTCGACGGGCTCCTTTTCAAGATATATTATATGATTCCGAACTTCATACTGGGGTCTCCAAGGCCGCTAGCTACCTAACATTTTTTCTTGGGAGAAACTCAGACCGGGTGGACACACGGGTTATGCCAAGTGGGCCACGACATACCCTGTGCAGGCCAATGTCCATTGCACACTGAATTCTAAACTATTCTATAAGAAACATTTATAACTCCATGCACAATTGTATGGCCTGGTGGTTTGTAGTGTGGATGTGTGGGGCTCCTACCCAAGAGGTTTCCAGTTCGACCTCCCGTGTCAGTGCATTTTAATTTTTTATTTTCTCTATTTCCCAGCAACGTTTTTCTATTTATTAAGAACAACTTCAAGACTCTCTTTACATTATTCTTTATTGATAGGAATAGAGTTTTTTATAAAAAAATCAATTAGATCGTCAAATATTGCCATTCTTTATTTCCTTGCTAGCAAAAAATGAAGACAAGACATCAATTTTAATTCAAATAGTGCTTTGCTTTCTTATTTTCTCACTAGTGCATGACGTACTACCAAGCTACACTTAAATTTTCATTTTTTTTCTATTTTTCTGTCCCTCTATATATTAACTATGCAACTTATGCTTTAGTAACGAATTGCTCTATTATCATGCCGTATTGGTCATAAAACATCCAATGTGTTGTTAATATAAGTAGTCACATTCAGGTGAAAGAAAACCCATTCAAAGCTATTCTTTTAATGATCAAGATGCAATTCGAAAAGCTTATATATAATTAAAGGTCCTTTCAAACTTATGCATATGGTTAGCTTGAATAATCGAGACATCAGGTCATTCAGAAAGTGCCAGGTAAAAATGTCAGATAAGTAGTATTATAAGTCTCTCCTATAGCTATATTTCAAACTATTTGTATTTTATTGGAATTAGTTGTCATCGTTTCTAGCATAATCTTTGGATTTGAGGCTTATCATGCTATTTAATACATATAGTTTTACCGAATTGAAATATGGTTTTATCAAATTGAAAATGGTTTTATCGGATTGTATAAGGAATTTTTTGTGCGGCATACCCTACGTTAAAATCCTAGGTCCGCCACTGAATGTTTCTCATATGTTCTATTAGTTGAAAATCAAACTTCAAAAGGCAAAAAAGAACTTCAAAAGTCTGATTTTGCATCTTATAATATGTTGACATATCGAGTAGCCTTCTTTTGTCCTTACATTAGAAAGAGACAAAATAGCCTAAAACTTGTGTCGACTAGAAATTATTTGGGGTATTGCATTCAGGTAAATCATTGGATCTCTTAGACAGCTCCAAAGCCATCCTTGGAATAGGGGTAGATAACAAGCTAATTGGACCCTTTGAGTTTTTTTTGAAATTAATATGTTATTATTAATTATATTATAATCTCTTCTATTGTTTGATATTCAAATTCAAACTGAGTTTAATGAGCCAAGTTAAAGTTAAAATTCATTCAAATCAGCTATCTTGGTTTCGAAAGAAAAACAAATGCATTCGGACAATTTTAAAATGAGACAACTGAATGAGCCTTTTGTCAAGCCCTACTTCTTGGAACCATATTGAGAGAGTGCATTTTTTTATACTTTGTTAGAAGCTGTTGCAATTCAGGGTGCAGTACACTTGAGAAATGGACTAACAACTGCTTCCTCCATCCCAAATAAATTAACTTCTTTTAAGTCAAACTTTTTTAAATTTAATCTAATCTATAGACAAAAAGCACTATGATATCAAATAAGCATAATATAAAAGCATACTTTATGGTGTGTCAAACGATACTATGACTCGAATTCGAGGAATGGATCCTTTGATCTGATGCCTGGCATTGGATATCCGTATGAAATCAGCTTATTCTGAGCTCAACAGATTTCAAATGAGATTGGGACGTATACTGACGATGCTGACGAATGTAGCAGATTGCCATGACAGCTATATTGTTACTATCTTTAGCCCCGTTCGTTTGGCTTAATTTGGCTGGAAAATACTGTTCCGGCTGAATTATTATGAAAGAAAAACACTGTTTTTGTTGAAAAAAGAAGTCGAACAAATCGATTTTAAAGTCCGCCGAACGGGGCCTCATTCCTTTTGGAATGTACCACTATCTATATATTTGCTTATAAATACACCAATCTCAATTTTGTTGTTTCTATCCTCTTCGATCCGATACACCGGTCGCACAGCTCGTTATTGTTACAGCGAAATGGAGAATAATCAGGGTGTGGAAGAGAGAGAAATTAAAAATAAAAAAACTCGCGCCGTCGCACCACTCGATCCCAGGCTCTCAGATGTCAGAGCAACCTGTCGGACAGGCTCGGCAGGCGGCGGAAGAAGTTGACCGCTGGCGGGGGCATAGGGTCCCGGAACATCGGGTGGCGCAGGTAGTAGAACCCGCTGGCCACGGCCACCATCTTGGGCGGCATGGCGTACAGCGCGACGGCCACGGCGAAGCTCACGCCCACGAAGATCCGGCTGGCGCGCGGGTCCCGCCAGCTCACCAGCGCCTGCAGCCGCTCGCCCTGCGCCGCCACGTCGCCCATGACGCGCTGCACCCGCCCCGCCAGCGTGCGCAGCCGTTCGTACCGAAGCCGGAGGACCTCGGGCGGCGGCACCGGGTCGAACTCCTCCTCCAGCTCGTCGCCGTCCACCGTGTCGGCCTGCGACAGCCGCGCGTCCATGCCGGCGGGGCCCCGGGGCCGGAATCGGTAGTACCACACGCCGATCATGAACACGTACAGCGACGCCGTGGGCACCACCAGCTCCGGGTACCACACCAGGACGAGGTAGAGCGCGTGGACCAGCACGGTCGTCGACGGGTTGCGCCACCGCTGCACGCCGTCCAGCCACCGCGCCAGACCCACGGCCCAGGCGAGCACCCCCATGATGCGGAACCAGTTGGCCTTGGCGCGCCGCACGCTCCACGTGTGCGCGTCCGCGTCGAGCATGTACTTCACCACCTCCGGCCCCAGCGGCGGCTCCGAGCGCGCCAGCCATGTGGCCACGGTGCGCACGGCCGCGCCCCGGAGCGCCTCCTGCTGCGCGACGCCGATGGGGCGCAGATAGTGCATGCGCGGCAGCAGCGGCGTCGTGTACGTGGCCCACGTGTCCGGGAGCTGCGCCGGAGACGAGAACCGCACGGCGAGCTGCACCTCGCCCATCTTCTTCAGCCCCGACCGCAGCAGCACCAGCAGCGGGTACGACGCCGTGTACGCCCGGTTGCTCTCCAGCGTGGACACGCGCACCCGCACCTTCCCGATGCGGTAGTCCTGCCGCTCGTCGCCGGGGCCGGCGAACATGCGCCAGTTGTCGAACACGGCGACCGTGAGCACAGTGCACGGGTCGTACACCTGCCACGTGTACTGCTCGTTCCACCGTGGGTTGAGGCTGTCGGTGATGGTCCGCGTGCGCACCCACTTCTTGCCGTACTTGGCCACGCAGTACGCGTCCGTCGACCCCTTGGCGCCTCCCTTGGTCTTCATCGGCAGCAAGCCGCACGCTCCGATGATGCCGAGCTCCAGCACGCCCACCGGCGGCTTCCACAGCTGCTTCGCCGTCGGCCGGTAGTCGCTGCACACGTGCGCCGCCTCGTCGAGCACGTGGTACCCGCCTTCCAGGCAGAGCCGAAGGTGCAGCCGCCCGGAGTAGAAAGCCGGCGGGCCGCCGGCGTTGCCGGGGTGCATGCCGATGCCTGACGTCCCGCCTTCGAGGGTGAACCATCTCGACGCGACGATCTGCCGCTCGTCGAGGCGCTGCTCTACGGAGGTCACTGGGATGGTGGCGTGCCCCAACAGCGCGGGTTCCTTGATCATGGACCGATCCTCCACTAGTACGATGAGGTTATCGTCGAGCGGCTCGGACGCGACGAACATGAGGTCTTCGGACCACGCGAACGCGGAGCCGCTGCAGCTGGCCACTGACCGCCGCGTCCGCGCCGACTGGAAGCCGAGCTGTATCTTGACGCGCACGTCGAACGGCAGCCCCGGCTGCGGCGCCGGGACGCGCAGGTCCTGCGCCTCGATGACGGACGCCCTCAGGTACCAGAGCTTGGGCGACTGGTACACCTTGGACCGCGTGTACGCGACGTACGGCGCGTCGGTGTTCCACGCCTCCGGGAACGCGTCGTCAGCCTGCGTGCCGATCCACACCGCCACCATGATGTCCCCCGTCACCATGCCCGGCTCGCCGCCCTCGAGCCTGTACCACTGCGGCGCCAGCGGGCCATCGGGCTGGTCGCGAACCGGCACGTCGGAGAGGTCGAAGCACACGCCGCCGAGGAAGGCTTCGGCAGGGGAGGGCGCGCCGCCGTCCCACACGGAAATCTCCAGCGTGGGCTCCGGCCTGGCGTGGCTGATGGCGAACACCTGGTTCCATTCGGGATTGCCGGTGCCGGAGACGTCCCGGCCAGGCCGCGATCGGAGTGAGTGCGGACCAGCCTGGACCTTGACGTACGGGCCCTCGCAGGCGCGTATGCCGCGCACCCGCACGACGCGCACGAAGAGGTAGCGCATCGGCTCCACCAGGTCGTACGACGACGACTGCACCGGTTCCACGGACTCGCCAGTGGACACGAACCGCCCGGGGATGACGCGGGGAGAGGGCGCGTAGTAATCCGGGCCCAAGCCGCCGCTCGGGTGGCGCACGACGCGGACGCGCTCCGTGGCCATCCGCGTCTTTCGCACCTCGGGAGGGTACTGGTCGCCGGATTCCGGTTCCGGCGCTGACTCTGGCTCCGGATGCGGCTGCTCTGGTGGCGGCGGCGTCATTGACCCGTGTGGCCCGTGTACCGGCGGCGGCATCATGGGACCGTGGGGGCCGTGCGGCCCGTGCATCGGCGGCGGCATCATCGGACCGTGGGGGCCGTGCGGCCCCTGCATCGGCGGCACCATCATTGGTGGGTGCATGGGCGCTTCCTCCACGATAATGATCGGAGGTTGCGCCGCCGGCTGCTGCACTTCGACGGCGGCCTCAGTCGGCGCGGGCATATCTGGGAGCTCTCTCGGCGCTTCCGGCGGGACCTCCGGCGGCGGCGCGTTGTCGGCCTGCTCCGGCGGTTTTTCTTCCGGAGGCGGCGGCATTACTGCAGGCTCGTCGTAGTAGTAAATCTTGAGTCCAACCTCGCCGCGGATCCAGCTGATGAGGCTGCGCTTCTCGAGCGGGAAGTAGACGATCCCCTCCTCGCCGCGGCGCGAGAACTGGGAGCCGTAGATGCGGACGCGGCCGAGGAACTGGTTCTTGCCGCTTCCCCCGCCGCCGCCGGAGGGGTTGAAGCGGCGGTCGTGGTAGAGCGAGATGTCGAGCGCCTCGGCGTGCATGTTCGCCGGGTCATGCACGACGAACTCGAGGCGCTCGTGCCACTGCGGGTTGAGGTCCCGCGGCACGGTGCGCGTGCGCTTCCTCTGGCCGTCGAAGTCCACGACCGCGAAGGCGCTGGACGTGCCGAGGCCATCCTTGGCCACGAGGTCGCGCGCGTCCACCACCTCGACGGCCAGCCTCCGCACCATCAGCGGTGGCCCCGGGGGCGGAGGGCCGCCACCGCCACCGCGGGCCGCCATGGGCGGAACCGCGGAAGCAAGCAGGGGATGGTGGTGATGGTGAGCTAGGCGACTGTGTGAAAAAGAAAGCAAGAAGGCGACGGCGAAGGGAATACGGTTCCTTATGATCAGTCGGCGTGGGGTGGTGGAGCGATCAAGTGGTAGCTCCTTTTGCTTTTGAGGAGAGCTCTAGCGTGCTTTGGAGAGGGAGAGAGAATCTGTGCTAGAGTGAGAGAGGCGCAGAGGAAGAGAAGGGAAGAAGTAGTTATTCTTTCTTGACGTGGAAGCTCTCAGCTTTGTGCGGGCAGAATCTGATCTGTTCTTGGCGCTTTTGAATGTGCACTGAAGCGATTTGGTGCCGGTGGCGCCGCCGCCGCTGCGCTCGTTGGCGACTTTTCTTCCTCCTCGCGTTGCCAAACACAGGCCGACACTTAACAGAGTCTTCCGTTTCCGTATTTGTGCTCTGTTCTGTGCACGGCTGCACCCGGCACCAGCAGTACTGGTTATACGCTCTGCTTATCACTTGGCTGATTTTTTTTCCACCATTAAATCTAGATCTAACCTCTTTCAATAGACACATCTCCTAGCTGTCATAAAACAAACACGAGCCAGAGAGGTCTGTTCGCGAAAAAACAAGTTATCATAAAATGTAAATTTGATTTTATATCTCCTTCAGCTACAGTGGCGCCACAATGCTTTCCTACTTCGCTTCTCATCTCTCCTGCTCTGCCACCTAAAATAGATATCAATGTTTCGTCTTAGGCCCTGTTCGTTTTGCTGAAAATACTGTTTGCTGATTTGTCGTGAGAGAAAAATACTGTTCATTCGCTGAAATAGTATGACTCATAAGAAAGACGAACAAGTCAACAGGGCGTTAGTCTTACGTATGCCCTCAATATCTACGGTGGGTATTGTCGTTGCACGACGTCTCCCCATTCCCCTTTCATGGCCTCTACCACCATCATTACATGCCGCTCTTCACCAGCCAACCATAGAGATACCGCGTGGCGCTAGACCTACCATAGTGTACACCTCCCAAGTGGGAAAGGTAAACCCAAGCATTGTTTATTAGATTAGATTGCCGTTGTGACATGAAAGAGTAATCCGGTACTAAAAATTTGACGAAATGGAGAGTGCCACATGTGGTTTAGAGAATTTGATCCTTATCTGCTAGTAAAATATATGAGCTGCACCTGATAGCTATGTAAAATGACTTGTTTATGTGTACATCAAAGATAACTTCTACTAACAAATCGTGAACAAAGCAACAACCCACAAAGATGTTTCCAAATTGTAAGTCTCATGTGCATAATAAAAGCTATGAATTAAAAAAGCTCAAATGACTCAGGTGCATAGTAAAAACTATGAATGTAGAAAAGCCCAAACGACTTATAATTTAAAATGGAGGGACACATGATATATCTTTGATTAAAAAATATGTTCTTTTTCCCCTTTGTTCTCTAAGAGGGACAATTGTTAGATGATGAAATTGATAGAATAGTTCTTTTTTATGGAAAAAATGTAGGTGGTTAGAAATCCTGGTTGATATGGAAATGGAACCCCAAAACATAGGTTTATACACCATGAACCTAATGCAACAACCAAACTATCACTCCGATCCATCGAAACGATTGTTTTATATTAGGGCGTCCCACGCCTCGATTTTGGAGCGAGACTAGTGATGAAAGAATCGCTAGCGAGCTTCTCTCTCGTACCTCTCAGCTCCACGTCAACGCGAACCTACGTAAGCTAGCGATGTCGCCGCCTGTTGCGGCCGCCCTTATTATAGCTTAATTTCGGTGCCATTCTCCAAGCAAAGTAATGTCAGTTTTGTTCGTACTTGGCCGAAATTTTGTGCAGGGTGCTACGATCCCGAGATGACAAAAGTGTACACAAGACGTCATAAAACGGTCCCCTCCCTAAAGAAATACATCATTGATTGATAAGGGAAGTGCAAATGTAGTCCATGTGCACAACGGGTATATATGGTTGTTGTGCATAGGACCATAGGTCCAGTCATATCTTGATGCATGATGCTTATAGATCATCCCGCTGTATGATGGCAACGGTTGCTGGTGAAAGGCAGGGCGGAATCGATTCTGCTGTGTCACACCCCTCGCGCGTAGAATTTGCTGTGGGGTTAATATGAGTTCTCGTTTCTTTCATCCTTCATGCGCTTCATATATACGCGTTCGTCGGAATTCGGAATGGTGCTGGGAATCGACCATCCAGAAAAACGCCATCTGTCTCCTGTTGCTGACGTGTGCAAATCTGGCCTGATTATATATATGGACCTTTGTCCTTGGGCCTGTGAAATGAAAGTCTAAATGAACGCGCACTCATTTTTGTACTTTCCTGACAATCCATTTCGTAAGACCTCCTTTTTCGAGCGAGGAATCCAACTATAATAAATCACACATCTCTGTATGTACACACAGATTAGACACGAAATATATATTTAGCTATTCGTGGCCGACAAGAGCCTGTGCGCGAGGAACGCGCCGAGCGCGAACCCGGCGACGGCCGCGGCGACCACCTGCCCCCTGCCGCCGAGGGCCTCTGCCCGCGCCGCGCGCTCCTCCTTGGCCTCGATCAGCCTCGCCATCACCATGTCTGTCCCGGAGACCGGCGGCTTGGGCACGGTGAGGGACAGCACGGTGCCGTCGAAGCGGCCGGCGATGCCTTCGAGGTTCGCCGTCTGGGGCAGCTGAAACGCCTTGTGGAGCCGCACGTACCCGGCGGGACGCTCGCCGCGGACCGTCAGCCGGCCGCCGGAGTCCACCTGGACCTTGAAGTCCTCCTTCTTGAACCCTTCATCATCGATCACGCACATATAAGTACGTTGTACGTGTACGTAATAAGCGTCATCTTCATCTCATCTCATGAGGCATCGCACGCACACGCGATCGATCGAACATGGAGTATAGTAAATTACCTGGGAGGTTGAGGCGAATGATGTAGCTGTTGGCGCCGTCGTGCCACTCCAGCTTGGGGTCGATGTCGGCAACGCCGCAGGCCTCTGGCACCGCGGCCGCGATGCCCTTGGCTGGTCCCTTCGGCTTGCAGCTGGCCATGAACTGCGTTTAATCTGATCTGGAAGCTGGTGATCGATCAGTCGATGAATCGGATGATGGTGATCGCGCTGCGGCCGCTAGCTAGAGCTGATTAGCCTTATTACCGCACAGGAGTCCAAGGCCTAACGATCGTTAGGTTAGCTCATATACGTAGCTGCACACTGTAGGTGTCTGTTTTGTTTTGTGTGTTTAGTTGGTTATTCCAAACTTCAAAGTACGTTGCAGCAGAAAATCGAGTTTGTCGTCGACGTCTGGGTAAAGGCTAGGGATCTCTAGCGGCCGGTGCCTTGCTTTCGGCACCCATGCGGTACGTTACTCAATGCAAAGCCTTCGTCTGAAGAAAACACAAGTGTATCGCTCGTTACCAAGGTAGATGTTGTGGATAAGCACGCAAGAGAAGGCAGATTTCTTATACTTGCATATCCTTATGTCTAGTAATATATATTTAGGTTTGAACTTGCTAGCACCCTAACGTCTGGTCTCGGGCGCTAGTATCAGACGGTGCTCTCGAACCCGCGCCTGACGCACCCATCCTGCTCCAGAGGCCGCACAGGCCCACACATGCGCAGGGACCACCCCGAGCCTGCTCCGTTTCACATGCCCACATGCACACAACAGCAGCAACAGGCGCATGTGGTGACCCACGGTGGTATGGTGACCTATGGTGGCGCACTAGCAGCAATAGCAGCATGTGCTTCCCCACGATCTACTTTTAAAACATCCTAATAAAACACTTGGTATCTTGCAACATACGTCTGAAACAGATGAAACACTTGAAACATGCGCCTGAAACATGCGTGTATAGCCATAGCAACATGCGCAACATCAAATCTACTTTTGAAACATCTAGATGCAACACTTGCAACATATAAAAGAAGACAAATAAAACACTTGCAAAAAAACACTTGAAACCCATAGCAAACATACGCAACATCCAGATAAAACACTTACAACATATGTGTGCAATATATGCAACATCTAGATAAACACACTTGCAACATACGTTTAAAAAATAAATGAAACATTGAGAACAGACGCTTACAACATACGTGTACAAAACCATTACAACAAATGCAACATCCCGACACTACTACACAAAATCTTTTGGACAACATTTGCAAATGGAGCTTGGAGGTGGGCGGGCTGGTTGCCCGTCTCCGTTATTAGGTGGCCGGGCAGCCGGCCCAGCGACCGCCTCAGTTAATCATTAACTGAGGCGGGCACTGTAAGCCAACTACCTTGGTTACACAATTAACCGAGGTGGTTGACTTCCGATAACCCCCTCTGTTAATGGATTAACCGAGACGGGCATCGTAAGCCAACCGCCTCGGTTAATCCACTACGACAACCGTCTCCGTTAATGGCTTAACCGAGCCAAGCACCGTAAGCCAACCACCCCGGTTAATCGACTATTTTCGGAGACGGTAAACATCTGCCTTCATAAATCGATTTACAGAGGCAGGCGTCTTAAGAAGTCTGCCTCGGTTAATGATTACAACAAAAAATAATTCATAACTTTTTCATATGAACTTGGATGAAGACAAACTTTATATTAAAATTGTAGCCCTCGACGAGATTTACAAATTTGTAGTTGAAAAGTTTTTGAATTGAATCTGTTTAGGGTCCCAAAATATTTTTGTAAGTGCGCAGATGTTAAAATTTGAAATTTAAAATTATCAAACTATCTCGGATGTTGACATGGTCTATACAAAAGTTATAGTTCTCAATAGAACCTACAACTTTGTAGCTAAAAAGTTTTTAATTTGAAGATGTTTAGAGTCCCCAATATGTGTTCGAAGGTTATAGATTTTAAAATTTAAAATTTTGAATTCCTAAAAGATCTCAAATGTTCACATAGTTAATACCAAAGTTCTAGTGGCTGACCTGATCAACATATTTGATGTTGAGAAGTTTTTTATTTAATGTCACCTAGAGTCTCAAATATGT